CTGGGGGACAGTTTTCCTCAAGTTCTTCTTTAACTTGTTCAGTTTTCCTATTTTTATTCAGTTAATTTTAATAATTTTTTTCAAGAGAAACTTGTCTTTAGACTATGGAGCTCTTCAAAATTATTAGGCCAAGTATAATGTATGTTTTATGAGAGATTCTTCGCTTTCTCTCTCTCTCCGTATATATATGTATATTTATATATTCATTTATATGTTTGCATTTATATATATATTTCTATGTGCATTTATATTTCTATATATGTTTGTGTATATATGTATGAAGATCTATATCTATATCTCTATAAATTCTCATACCCACTTTATAATTTCTATTTGTGAATCTTTGTGAATTTTCTTTTTTCATCATAGTATTATCATGGGTATATTTTTGTCTGTGGAGATAAGACGTTGAGTTTATTTTTAAATTGTTTATATTTTCTGTCTTTAAAATCATTTCTACTTCAATCCTTATTAGTCTTTCTATGCTTTTTCTAAGTTTATATTTCTATCTTTTGAATATAAATATTTGTTCATTTATTATTTATTCTTATTTTTTTAAATCATTCAAAGATGTTGGTTTACCTCTGAGTACAGTTTTGCCTGCATCTCACAAGTTTTTCTATGTAGTGTTCCTACTACTATTATTTTAAATTATTCTATAAGTTTAGTTTTGATATTCTCTTTGATCTGAGAGCTATTTAGGTGAACAAATATTGTTTTGTTTTGTTTGCTACTATTTCTTAAATTATTTCCAGGTTTTTTCTTGTAGATGTCAGAGAATAATGCCTATCTTTTGCTTTAGCAATGGTAATTTTTATTTTTATTTTATAAATGATCAAATTTGGTAAATATTCCATAGCTATGGAAAAGGAAGTGTATCATTTTGTAGATCATAGAGTTCGCAGAATATATAAAAATGTGTATGTATATACATACACACAGAAAACAGCAGATATAATCAGTCATTATTATTTAGATCTTGTTACCTTTTTTTGGTCACTTGTTGCTTCAAGAACAACAAAAAAAAGCTGTGGTAAAGCTTACTCATTCTTATCTTATTTTGATTTTGTAAATTTCTCCTGTATTTGCAATGTTTTCCTTTGTATACTTTAATTCTATGTTATCTGTAGCATTAATATCAATGACTATTGTATCTTGTTAATACTACTATTACTAATACGGATACTAAAAACAACCAATAGTTTCTGAGCATGTAAAATGTGGCAGATATTGAGTTAGATGTTGTAGATGAATTTTCTTACTTAATACTTGTAACAAGTATACTAGATAGATAGCTGTATTTATCACTTCCAGTGAGGATTCCAGTGGATTGTATTCTACATTAACAGACACACAAATAAAAAAACAATTTTTTGTTTTACATAATACTTTTGCCTTTAGCACTGCTTCTTTTTTTTTTTTTTAAACATCTTTATTGGGGTATAATTGCTTTACAATGGTGTGTTAGTTTCTGCTTTATAACAAAGTGAATCAGTTATACGTATACATATGTTCCCATATCTCTTCCCTCTTGCGTCTCCCTCCCTCCCACCCTCCCTATCCCACCCCTCCAGGCGGTCACAAAGCACCAAGCTGATCTCCCTGTGCTATGCGGCTGCTTCCCACTAGCTATCTATTTTACGTTTGGTAGTGTATATATGTCCATGCCTCTCTCTCGCTTTGTCACAGCTTACCCTTCCCCCTCCCCATATCCTCAAGTCCATTCTCTAGTAGGTCTGTGTCTTTATTCCTGTCTCACCCCTAGGTTCTTCATGACATTTTTTTTTCTTAAATTCCATATATATGTGTTAGTATACGGTATTTGTCTTTCTCTTTCTGACTTACTTCACTCTGTATGACAGACTCTGGGTCTATCCACCTCATTACAAATAGCTCAATTTCGTTTCTTTTTATGGCTGAGTAATATTCCATTGTATATATGTGGCACATCTTCTTTATCCATTCATCCGATGATGGGCACTTAGGTTGTTTCCATCTCCGGGCTATTGTAAACAGAGCTGCAATGAACATTTTGGTACATGACTCTTTTTGAATTTTGGTTTTCTCAGGGTATATGCCCAGTAGTGGGACTGCTGGGTCATATGGTAGTTCTATTTGTAGTTTTTTAAGGAACCTCCATACTGTTCTCCATAGTGGCACTACCAATTCACATTCCCACCAGCAGTGCAAGAGTGTTCCCTTTTCTCCACACCCTCTCCAGCATTTATTGTTTCTAGATTTTTTGATGATGGCCATTCTGACTGGTGTAGCACTTCTTCTTTAATGTTAATATTGTGACTCTTGGTTCCTTTTCGTCTGCATTTGCCACGTATATCTGTCTATCTTTTAACGTGTAACCTTTATGTTACCTAGTATAATATTGGTATATAGGAGATACCCTACAAAAAATGTTTGTGGGATGAGCAGGCCTCTTGGAGTCACTTTGTTTAATGTGTATCTCTTCTAGGCGGCATATAATTGGATTTTGTTTATGATCCAATGTGAGATGGTTTTTAGGGGAGTTTAACCCACTTACAGTTATTGTGTTAATGATATGTTTGATTTGCTTCTGACATTTAGTGCTTTGTATTTTCTTAATGTTTCCTTTGTTTTTCTTTTGCTGTTGCCATGTGACTCTGAGTTCTTTGATTAAATATACATACAAATTGGTATGGAGAGTATACATCTTGTTTTTATTCCACTTTTGATTGACATATGGCTTGTCCTACAGCTGAGTGCATTCACACTCTTGGCACGATAATTGGAGTTTCTCTGCAGCTGCTGCTTCCCAAGGCTTTACATTCACGTGCCAGCCTACAGTAAATTATGTTCATGGTCATGGATTTCTCATTTTGTTTATGATCTCATTTGAAATAATTTATTTGCTTGAAAATGAAACATATTTGTTACATTGTGTAGACTTCTCTTCATTTGTTAGTCTTCTCCTCATCATATAACAAATGTTAAAAGATGTGTATTGATTATCTCTGCTGAACTATGTGAATTCGGAGGAGAAAGAAGAGGAATGCAAAGTGATATCTGTTCCTGTTTTTAAGTTGCTTAAAGTATAATTAGCAGGGGACTAGATGTATATCTATAAAAAAGGTAAATAACTCAAAAATTAAAATAGAAATGATGTCACTGGCACTGTGTATAAATAAATGCCAAATGAGAAACATACACAAAATGTGCCATGAATTCAGAGGTCAGCAATACTGCCTAGAGTTGAAAGGTTCAGAGAAATCTCTGAAGAAGAAGGAAACCATCCCAAGGTGGGTGAGCAGTGTGAGCAAAGGTGTGGAGGTGGGCATGTACAGGGCATATTCATGAGATGGCAAGCAATGATCATTGTCACATCAGAGGTTTCATGCAACTGGAGATGTTTGTTAGGGTAAATGATTCATCCTACAAACATGTGTTAAGCACATAGGACCCAGAGAGTATACAGAGGGCATTTGACCAAGGTGTAGGGGCAGAGGTGTGTCAGAGAAGGCTTCCATGTGGAAGTAATGCCAGGGTTAAGTCCTAAGGGACAAGTAGGAGTTTAACAGGTAAAAGTTTCAGGGAGGGGTACGGAAGTTGGGAAGAAGTGTTTTCTAGGCAGAGGAAGCTGAAGATGTGAAGGCTTATAGGTAAGAGAGTGTATGGTGCTTTCCAGAACTGCAACTATTTCCCTGTGGTTGGCCTATGGAATGTGAGCGGGGGAATTGGGTGAAGAGGTTGGAAGGATAAAAACTGACCCAGGTCATGAGAACTTTGGGTACCACATGAAGGCTTTTGGACTTTATCTTCAAGGCTGCGGGAGCCTCAAAAATGACTTGAGTAGAATAGTGGAGTTGGTTGGAAAGTGGACTGTAGACAGGAAGATTAAAGTTGGGGAGATTTGTTGGGAGGTCATTGGATGAATTCAGGTGAAAGATGCCAAGGGACAGAACACAGGCAGTAGCAGTGGGGATATAATTGAGGACAATTAAAACATTAGAAGCTATAGTTTGCGGGTCATGAAGGAATTGTGGGGTGGGTTGAGGTAATTTCATATATATACAGTATCCACACACACAGATAAATAAAAGGATCTCACATTCTTCATGGCATTTTACTACTGAGCTTAGAATAATGGGGCTTTAAATGTTAGTATCGCCTTAAGACTGTCATGGGTGTATAATACTGGTAAAATGACTAGGTCAGTAAAATATGTACAAATGTACAGACTTGATGAAACAAACTTTTATTTAGCTACCAATCCCATAAATGGTCAAACAGTTGACAATGGTAAAGTTTGTTTCAGTAACAAAGCCTCTCAAAGAAAGGGAGATTTGGATGCCTTTCAGTAAAATAAATTCCTTTCTTCTCAGATGACATGTAAACTGATGTCATTTCTCATTCCATAATAAAAAAAAAGACGAAACTTGTTATGGTTTGCAGTATTCCAGTGATGACATTCTTCCTCAAAGTAATCTAAAAAAAGACATTGTGAGCAAACTTGTACTTCCCTGCCAGAAATGCATGCCTGGCCATAATGCAAGCCTTTCATATTTAGCCATTTAGATAATGGTTTCTACATGAACTTTCATAACATTTATTTACTGCCATAAATGAATGGACCAAGCACTGTTGGAAGCCAGGAATCCAGTTCCTCAGCAGTTAGACTTCTCACTACCTTATCTCCACATTATAAAGAGTGCTCTGAAACTTGTCTTTCCTGTCAGTATCTTGATTTTGAATTTTTACAGTTTCGCCTGCTTGTGAAATATTTTAGCCCCACTCCATGAAGACTATACTCTAGTTATAAATATTTCAATTCCCCAGCCCCCCTTTTTAGGGTGTATCAACCACGTTTTCCTTCCCCTCCCCTCCTACTGACTGATTCACGCATTCTCTGAGTTGTTGCTGCAGAAGAAAGCAGGCAGAAAAAAAAAAAAAGCAGGAGAAGACTGCTTAATTCTAAGACAAGGCTTTCTATATATTCATCTGGATAAAATGGTGAAATATGACTTGGGCTGATCTGCGAATGAGGGTTGAACCAGGATAGATGTGTTGATCACTGAATGGAGAAAGGCATCTTGCTGTAATAGGTTTTCCATTTACATGATAGAGGTGATGGATGGTGATTCTGCCCTGGAAGAGTTTGAATTCAAGGTGGCTTTGCTAAGCAGACGTCTGACTTGTTGAAGTCCTGCCACCCCGCTCTGGTCCCTACGTGCTGAGGTGTGGTGTTCCCGCTGCTTGAACTGGTTAAACTGGACAAACCACAGCCTCTCGGAGCAGGCTCTCAGGCCATGGCCTCCGGGCTGGCTCCTGCCCTGGCAGGAAGCTGTGCCCACGTGCTTGTCTTCCTCGCCTCCCAGTCTGTTGGCACCAGGCACAGCCAGGCAGGAGCAGGGGATGGCTGTTGACAGGGCAGTCGGTGTCTGACTCTGGCCTGCTCTAGAAACACTATTCCAGAGTCTTCCCAGCTCTTGGCTGGCATCCTGCAATGGACTGGGATTCTAGACCAAATTTTAGGACCCTCATTCTTGGTGGCCAGAAAGCACAGAACCAGATGCAGCTGTGGAGGAAGATGGTGGAGAAAGGTAAAAATAATATATCTCTTAAAATTAGAATTTCTTTTTAAACACAGTATTTATAAAATATTTTTATACAACAAACACGTATTTTTTTCTCGTAAAGTAATCGTATTGTCCGAAGGGGGGAAAAGAACTTCAATAAGACAGGTAGAAGGAAAAGAAAACAATTAGAACACTTTACAATGGGAAAGCAGAGACATATCTAGCTGCTAACATTTGCTGTTCTTACAGCTGTTCTTACAGTAAAGGAATCTCTGGTGTCCATATGAACAGATATGCACATAATTGCAAAAGATCCTCAAATACCAGAGGGCCCCCAAAGAACTTGTATTTGACTCTACAGTTTAACTGTCACATTTATCTACCTATATCTGTGCCTACTTGCTGAGTAGAGATAAAGAGAGAAATGGAGCAAAATCTTTGTTTTGACAAAGGGCGCAGGAGACTGGGGGAGTCGTTTCCATAAAAGGTAGTAAGTGTAATGATGCAATTATGGTATGGATTCTTAGGAAGCAGTTTAACTGTCTTCACATCCCTACTGTCTAGCACAGGGCTTGATGAGTGGTAGGTCTTCATATTTGTTGAAATTTGTGCTTTGGCTGCAATCAACATGAATTTGAGCCATTTCAGCACACACTAATTCTTTAAGTGATTTTCACTCATCCCATTTATTCATCCATTCACTGAGAAAATACTTATGAGACAGAGCTACCATACAAGACCAGAAGTATATGTAACGAATATCAGTGCAATTCCATACTAAATTTTGACATTTGCATAGGTAATCTAGACAGTGTTTTTTTTTTGCCAGTGAAGTGATATTGTATATAGAGGTTGTTTAGTACATTAAAAGATAGGCAAAATGGATTATTTATTGCAGAAGATTGCTTCATTAATTAAAATGTATATATTAATTATATACTTCCTAGGCTGGTGAAGATCTGATTTTATTTATAATCATCACAGTGCTGTAGAATGAGTCCAGAACATTCTGGAGAATGTTTCCCTTCCTTTTGACTCCCATGTGGGTGATTTCCAAAGGTCTCTACATCTCTGACCTAGGAGAAACCTTCGTCAATCTTTGTGAATTTCCTCCTTTACAAGAGCGATATGTGCTGACTCTGCTTCCTTACCTCATACCCATTCATTTAAAACATTTATTGTGAAATATTTCAGAAGGGAACGTGTAAAGAAGGGCACAGTAAAGACCTGTGTTTCACCACTCAGCTTATCAAATAAAACATTACCAACAAAAGTGATGCTCCTGTCCACTTGCATCTCACTTCCTTCAAATATAACTATCTTAAATTTGGATTTGATAATTATCATTTCTATATCATTCTTTATAGTAATACTAGCTATGCATGCATGCCCAATCATTACACCATATTGTTTTCCATATTTTTAAACTTTACATGACGGTATTATACTGTATGTGTCATTCTATCACTTGGCATCTTGGTATTTTCATTCATTATTGGGTTGGTGAGGTTCATCCATGATGGTGTTGTTCTACTGTATGACATTCCCCAATTTGTTTCCACACTCTCCTGTTGATGGACATCTACTTTACTTGCAAATTTTGTGTCAAGGGGTCAAGACAGATTTGTCAGTATCACTTGGTGCCAAAAGGGACTTGTTGGCAGGAAAGTGGTCAGAGTCCAGCATCCTTTCTAGAGGCGTGCTTGAGCTCCAGTGCATGTGGAAGCACTGTGGGACAGGTCTCCTGCGGACAGATTCCACCAGTGGGATGTTTCCCACCTTGTTGCTCTCCCTTTCTGAGAGCTGAACAGGAGAAGAGCCTTGGAGGACTTGGGAACAGACTGCTTTGGCATCAAACAGTCTAAGGGTAAAGCGTGAGCTGTTTGCAGTTGTTGGGAACATAAGCTGCCTCATCCATGGAGGTTTGCGGGACCGTGGGAGGTGCAGCCCCTCCTCCTGGGGAGAAGCCTCTAATGCAGTTAATTTCTTACCAGGCGGTTTAGAGGGAGCGTCTTATGGATTGACATTTGTCACTACAAATCAATTTTTTCTTGTTTCAAATAATGTTGCCATGATCATGTCTCCTTGTGTACATGTGCAAGAGTTGCGAAGGGTATACACCTAGGAGTGGAATTGCTGAATTGTGGGGATTATGCTTTGTCAGATTTACCAGAGGTTTCCATTTGTTCTTCAAATCATTGAACCAATTTATACTACCACCAGTCATACATAAGAGTAATATATTGCTTCACATCCTCGCCAAAAATTTATATTGTCCAAATTTATTAATTTTTGCTGATTTGATAGATGGTATGAGATGGAACCTCAGAGAAGTGTTTTGGTTATGATTAAGATTGAGCAGGTTATCTTATATCTGTTGGTCACTTACATCTCCTCTTTTATGAATTGCTTTTTCTGTCTTTTTCCCATATTTTTTTTCTGTGAATTGTCTTTTTCTTTCTGACTTGTAGGTGTCTTACATTTTGGATGTTTACTTTGCATAGATCTGTATGTTGCAAATACTTCTCCCATTCTGTAGTTGGTTTTTTGTTGTTGTTGTTTTACTTAGAAAAACAAAGCAAAACTTTTAATGGTCTTGTGATTAACAGAACTTAAATATTTGGATGTAACAGCATCTATAATTATTAAGCCTAGTTTCAGAGAGCTTTCTTTATTCTTAACTACTGTGAGTTTGGCTTTAATTCATTTTTACTCTATTTTTTAAAAGACTATTTTTATTCTTTTACTAACTACTCAAAATTCTATATGCACGCTTAACTTAATTTAATAACTATCTCTTCTGATATGAAAAAACCCTTACTAATTCTTTATTATTGTACAGTGTTTTAGTTCTATCTTGTTTTTGTACTTCCCTAATTCGACACTATCATATTGTATTTCTTATCACCAGTTTGATTAGATTCACCTATGCATTTCACAATCTCTTTGCTGACCATTCGTTTCAGACTTTGTCTAGTTATTCTTTTAGTGAAAGTCTATTCATAGTAAACTAAAATTTTTGTCAGAAAATATATTTCTTTGATCTCATTCTTTAGTGGGGATTTAGCTAGGTATGAAATTGTAAGTTGAAGTTACTTTCTCATGGCTTCTAAGAGATATTCTGTTATTCTAATTCTAATTTCTTTGTAGGTGTCCTTCTAATATGTTTTTTGGAAGGTGCTTTCTCTCTGGCTGCTTTTAAGGTCATGTTTGTCTTTGGTGGCCTGTAGTATTGCTATGGTATGTCTAGGTGTGGATTAAAAAAACAGACATTTTCCTTTAAAATTTTTGTATTTCTGAATCTGAGGATTCATGGTTTTTATCAAGGACAGTTTTTGGTCATTTATATTTTTAAATATTGTATTTTTCTAGAACTCCAATTAGATGTATGTTAAATGTCATTTCATTTTCCATTTCTCTTAAGTCTTTTTCATATTTTTGATCTCATTGGTTCTACTTGCTACATCCTATAAACTTAAAAAAATCTATCTTCCTGTTCATTAATTCTTTCTTCTATATTCTGTCCAATTTTCTTTTTAAACCACTTAATTTTTCATTTCAATAAGTATATTTCAGTTATATTTCAGTGATTACATTTTAATTTCTACAAGTCTAATTTGGTTTTTTAAGATTTCTTATTTGTATTTTGTTATCTTTCACAAATTTTGATATATGAAATTCTGGGAAGTCTACTTTTGAAGGTTTTATTTCTACAAACTCTTTCATCTGGTGGCCTGTATCCTCATATATGTTTTTTAAGCTAAGCTCTTTTTTTTTTTAACATCTTTATTGGAGTATAATTGCTTTACAATGGTGTGTTAGTTTCTGCTTTATAACAAAGTAAATCAGCTATACATATACATATATCCCCATATCTCCTCCGTCTTGCATCTCCCTCCCTCCCACCCTCCTTATCCCACCCCTCTAGGTGGTCACAGAGCACCGAGCTGATCTCCCTGCGCTATGCGGCTGCTTCCCACTAGCTATCGATTTTACATTTGGTAGTGTATATATGGCCATGCCACCCTCTCACTTTGTCCCCGCTTACCCTTCCCCCTCCCCATGTCCTCAAGTCCTTTCTCTACATCTGTGTCTTTGTTCCTGTCCTGCCCCTAGGTTCTTCAGAACCTTTTTTTTTTTAGATTCCATATATGTGTGTTAGCATATGGTATTTGTTTTCTCTTTCTGACTTACTTCACTCTGTATGACAGACTCTAGGTCCATCCACCTCACTACAAATAATTTCGTTTCTTTTTATGGCTGAGTAATATTCCATTGTATATATGTGCCACATCTTCTTTATCCATTCATCTGTCGATGGACACTTAGGTTGCTTCCATGTCTTGGCTATTGTAAATAGAGCTGCAATGAACATTGTGGTACATGACTCTTTTTTTTTTTTTGTGGTACGCAGGCCTCTCACTCCTGTGGCCTCTCCCGTTGCGGAGCACAGGCTTCGGACGCGCAGGCTCAGCGGCCATGGCTCACGGGCCTAGCCGCTCCGCGGCATGTGGGATCTTCCCGGACCGGGGCACGAACCCGTGTCCCCTGCATCGGCAGGCGGACTCTCAACCACTGCACCACCAGGGAAGCCCCGACATGACTCTTTTTGAATTGCCAGAAATTTGGTTTTCTCAGCATATATGTCCAGGAGTGGGATTGCTGGGTCATAAGGTAGTTCTTTTTTTAGTTTTTTTAAGGAACCTCCATACTGTTCTCCATAGTGGCTGTATCAAGTTACATTCCCACCAACAGTGCAAGAGGGTTCCCTTTTCTCCACACCCTCTCCAGCATTTTGAAGTATAGTTGACTTACAGTATTATATTAGTTCCAGGTGTACAATATAGTGATTCAACATTTTTATCGGTTATTTTGTGTTGAGAATTTATATCTGACTGCTCTTTATCTGTGGCAATCCTGAGAGCTTGGGATGAGTGTTTATTCCTTTGCATTTGCTTCTACCACACACCCTGGGATGCTACCCAATTAGGACAACATTCAGTTAGTGTTTTGGCTCATGGTTT